CGCGAGCATTCCGCACGCCCCAAACAAACCGGCCAAAGCTTTGGCCAAGGCGCGCTCCCGCCACCACAGCGGTTGGTCTGTTTGTTAGGGAGGAATCTTATCTGGTTGGTGAAAAGGTACCAGGACCTTGTACCTTCTTGTTGAAGGAGACCTCTTTGAAACAAACTTACAACTCACAACACAGTGTACCGGGGAGGACTCCTCCTGAACAAGAGCCTGTCCGCGACAAGCCGCAAGAAAGGATGCTGCCTCCTTGGCGAGCATCTTGTAATAAAATTTCAATGAGCATACCCCCATAGCATTTACCAGGCGGTATGTATGCTCTCTCCCTGGGTCTTGTAGAGCAAACACCAGGGCCTTAGAGCATCCACCGTCGTTGCAGTAAATCTTTAGGTAGCCAGCGAGTCCCGCGCGGCTCGGTTGCTTACCTAATGAGAAAACCCCCCCTCGTTGCTTGGCATTGGCTCGGTAGGGAACTCAGATTTACATACCAATCCCGGTGCCACCCTCGTATCCATTTTATGATTTGAAACAACTCAGCAACTCACAACTCACCACCGGCACATCGGCATCTCTTTCCTTCACGATGGATCTCGATACCCTCCACTTCGAATATTTCCTCTGGGATCTTGAAGAGGAAGTTCTTATTCAACGCCTCCTGGCAGCAGCAGCCCGGCCCATCCCCAGAATGATCCAAATCGGCGATAGAGAAATCATACTCCGGAATCGCATCGCAGGCAATGAATGTTTGATGGCCAATTACTTTGTCAAACGTCCAGTGTATCCCAATCGAATCTTTGAGCGGCGCTTCCGGATGAGCAAGAATTTGTTCAATCAGATATGCAGCGATCTCCAGCAACACGATCGATTCTGGATTCTCAAAGAAGTGGGTAATAAATTGCCCTCTTGTTGATAGATTCTTTGGCTCATTAATTATCTTCAATTTTACACATGTTCTAGGACTGCTGTGGCCAGATGGGCCTGTCAACCCATCAAAAGGTTACAGCGGCACTCCGACTATTGGCGTATGGGTCTAGCGCCGACTCCGTGGATGAATATGTTTGAATTGGCGAAACGACCGCAATCCGAACACTCAAGCTGTTTTCCAAACACATCATTGCAATCTACGGTGTGGTAAGCCAATCTTGAATAAGAGGCCCACAAAATCAAAGCCTCAAGCACAATATCAAGCCCTCTGGACAACAATACCCTCAAGGATCAAGACAAGCCCCCTCTGGAATATTCAACCAACCTGCAACACCATGGATGTCACAAGACCAAGCCCCCAGGACAGAAGACACTCTGGATTCACATTTCATTTCTTTATTACATAATCATCTCATGCAGTCTTACATCATCAATCCCCATTCAGCCTTCCACATTTGGCCTCTGCATGTGTTTCACTCTAATCCACTTTCACTCTAGTCTCATTTCCACTTTGGGCCACATTCCACTGTTTCACACTATTCTACATTGGTTATTCTGATGTCTCACACTAGTACACAATTGGCTAGTTCATTCATCTCTTTGGTATATTCTTCCTCCCACATTGGTTGTGGCACATTTCATCCCTGCATGGCTCTGATGTCATTTTCCCCATTTATCTTAGTGCCTACCAATTGGGCCATATTGTCTCAGTTTGATATTTTTCACTCTTCCATTTTGTTCCATCCCCCTTCCACCCACAAGCTGGCCACTCCCCAGAATCTTGTATATAAGGAGCCTTGTTTTTCATGTTCATTTGTTCCCCATCAGATCCTGCCCCAGTAAGCCAGATAACTGATCACCTATTATTAGCCAGGTATATGCCCATCAACATTTGGGATACCTTGATTTGTGAACAAGTATATTTTGACCAGTAGACATAAGACATATTAGACATACCTTACTCAAGAAATCTCCATAGCCACACCTATTCTTCAAGAGTCCATACTCTTGTTCTTTTCTTGTTACCTTACTCATCCTAGTTCCCAGAGAGGCAGCCCATTAAAGCACTATTCCCTCTCAAGCTCTATTCATCCCAAAGAGTAGTTCCACAACGGCCCTGAATATCTGCGACCTCCAAACCGTGAAGAACTCCAAGTGATCCTCAGTGAGAATGAAGAGCGGGGTTTTCCAGGGTGTATTGGGAGCATCGACGGCATGCATTGGGCATGGAAGAATTGTCCATCGGGGTTTGCAGGCCAGTATAAAGGGAAGGAAAAAAAGCCAACCATGGTTCTAGAAGCCGTTGCAAGCAAGAACCTTTGGATCTGGCATGCTTTTTTTGGTACTCCAGGCGCCCTCAACAACATCAATGTTCTTCATCGCAGTCATCTCTTTGACTCCTTACTTGCTGGGGCTTCGGACTCAATCAGATACACAATCAACGGACATCAATACGACACTGGTTACTATCTCTGTGACTCGATCTACCCACCCTGGTCAACTTTGGTTGCTTCGATCAAGAACCCACAGGGTGGGGCCTCCAAACACTTCGCCAAACTTCAGGAATCTGCCCGAAAAGACATTGAGCAAACCTTTGGTGTCCTTCAAGCACGCTGGCATTGCTTAACCAGGGGCTGTTGCTTGTGGGAGAAGACAGATGTTATGGAAATGATGATGTGTTGCATCATTCTACACAACATGATTGTGGAAGAACAATCGCCAGCTGATCCTTTTTTGACCCTTCCTTTGGCCGACATCATACCAAATCATCGAGACCCAAACCTCGCACATACCTGGGCCAATTACCTTCAGAACAATTTCAACTTGCACAACCCCGAGACTCATGCGCAGTTGTGCGAGGACCTCAAAACTTACAATTGGTTGCTTGTGGGTGACGAGAGGGCCTAGGTCTTGGGTTGTACTTTCTATTTAATTTAATTTATTGATATTGTTTTGTTTTATCTATCAAATGAATCAACTTCAACTCCATTTCTTACTTTCTACTCATTGCAACTCAACATAACAAACAATCAGTGAGAAAGAAATGTGATCAATAAATTTTTTTGAATGCAAGCAGAGAGTCACATAGACAAGATTTGATCAAGAGGCAAGAGTGGGAAAACAAAACACAAGTGAGAGGTGATAAAAGACCAGGAGAAGCTTATAAGGCAGCTCTTGCACGCCACTTGTTCTTAATTTGATCCTTGATTATCTTGAGGACATCCTTTGCCTCCTTGTCCCCAAGGTCCTTGGCATCACGGAGAATCTTGAAGTTGTTCATCTCGGTTTCACTTTGACGATAATTCTTCTCAATGGTGATCTTCTTTTCTTCTAGCTGGAGTTTTTCCGTTCTATTTCAAGCTTTTCCTGCATGATTTTATTTTTTTCCAGGAGGATATTGTTGCCCTTGTTGAAGGCTGTCAGTCGCTCTTGAGAGATTTCAGCCAGCTTGTTTGTTTGAGAGAGTAATTCATTGTGTTGGTAGTTCTTGATTCGACGTCTTTTAGCGGCCTTCCCCCCAATTGGACGAGAAATTGAAGATGCTGAACGCGTGCTTGGGGTAATGGTGTTCTCATTAAGAGAAGTGTCAGGGTCGATTGAGTCAGTTGATGGGATTGGAACTGGGGTGGATGGCTGATCTACTCGAGGGTCGGCTCGCCATTTTGGTGCGTAACGGAGCTTTTGCCATGCTGCAAGGTTGTTGAATGCGGTCCCTTTGGTCTGGTCTTGGTAGTTCATCTTTGCAGCTTCAAGCCAGTCCTCGGGACTAGAACCACTGGGAGGATTTCGTTCTATTGCATTATAGATCACAGAGAATTTAAGAGTTGAGGTGTTCATAGCAGTCCATCTAGGAGGGTGGTATTAGTGATTAGTTTAAAAATTGTTGGAATTGAAAGCTTACCAAGTTTTTATTTGACCATGATCGCGATAGTGGGCCTTGGAGTGTGTGTTAAAATCCTTTTCAATCTTCCGATAGAAGGTCTCGCCTGACTGGTTTGTCGCAAATTCAGGTTGTTCGCTGGTATTGATCCAAGAGATCGCAAGCTGTTCTTCCTCGCGGGGAAGCCAGTTTGGACCTCTTTTCTTCTTTGTTTGAGTGGTATCGGTGGTTTCTTCTACTGGGGTGGTGGGGGTGGCCATCAGTGCTGGTAGTTGTGCTTTGATGGTGAATTGTTCGGTACCAACAGTCGGTAGGCTCGGTAAATTGACCTTTAAAGAGCCTCTGTAGTCGTTGGTAAATCTAGCGAGCTGGACCAAAAATCCTACAGACTAGTTTGTTAAAGAGCCCTAAAGAGGGCATGAGGGTGTGAATATGCATACCGAGTCTGTAAAACCGGCTTACAGAGCGGGTTTACAGACACAAGGGTGGATGCTCTTACTCGGCGGCAAGAGGTCTTTGCCCATAAGCGGGTATATCCCTGGTATGCATGAGGTGAGGAAGGGTGAGGATACATTCATTGCTTGGTAACAAAGATTTACGTTGTGATTATGCATTGGCTCATCACTTTGTGTTGCCAGATTCGCCGACTGTCCAATGAATCATCCTTTCATTGAGTATTTTCTCGAAGAGTTTCCCCATCGTGCACAGGAGAGCTATTGGACGCAGCTCAGCTTATCGCTTATCCAGGTCCCCCGGACAGCTCTGTCGGAAGAGGCTGCCCGAAGGCCTTTGACAAAGCTCTGTAGGGGAAGTAGCGAGTCCGACGAAAAGGTTGGTGAATCCAATGAACATCTCTTCGGAAAGGAATTCATTGAGCATGGTGCCATGGCTTGATGAGGCCCATGCACAGCACCACCAATTAGGCATCATTTTCCATCATTTTATTGAAAACTCCGCAAGTGACCGCGCATCAACGGTCTTGATATTTTGGCCCAGGAATCCAGGCGGTAACCCAATCCAATCTCAGCTATATCTCTTTCCATCCAATCCTAGTCACTCATCTTGCGCAAGTTCATATAGCCCTTGCGCATGCTCTGTGCACTTTCGTGATTTTTGCAGTGCTCAAGTTTTTCTGAAAGTAGCCCTAAGTTCCCAGGCCATCCGATTCATTCACCTTGACACATATTATTGATATCAACGGGGGCTCAAGTCCTTGACATTAACAGACACATCTGACAGACAAGAAAGTCTGTTCACCAGACCTCTTTCAACCCAAGTGCGCAACATATATTTTCAGTTGTCTTATTCATACGAACCGGCTTTCGAACGCACATCTCTCAACCACAGAAATTAAGCACGGCAACACTTGCTCTTTCACAACTTTACAATGTCGATTCGATCCTTTACAGCCATCTCCCTTGCAGTAGCTTGCATCCTGGTATGCTTGTTACCCGAGACGCAAGCTGGTGTTTGCTCAATCTTACAAGTTCGCGGGGCCAATGGCAAAATCGGAACGGGTTTTGGAGTTGTACGTTTTCGAGACCAAATCATCATGTCTATGAACCGGTTTTCTGACTGTTTGCTTTTTCTTTCTCTGACTTCTTTTGAAACAAACGTTGCTAACCGTCCTCCCTTCAGCAACCTGACAATGTCGTTCCTCGTAGCGGTGGTGGCGATGTAAGTGCTGCACACGAATATCGGTTCCCAAACTCTAACTGAACCTCTCTGAATCTGGGTCTCGTTCTGTATTAGACCGGTGCGGACGCAACAGAGTTTCAGGCGACCCCCAACCCAAATCCTGTTTGCGGCACGGTTGCCAAACTTCCCGAGAAACGCGTTGACATCTCGTCTTTCATGAGCCAAGGTCAGACACACATCACTTCTTTGTCTCCCCGGGCGGCTGTGCATTTTGGAAAAATTTTCTCATGATTTTTTACTTTCATAAATTAGCTATCGACGCTGGTGTGCCCTCAGTTTTCTCCAACGGATCTATTCCTATGACTGTCTTCCAAGTCAACCGGATCGGAGGAGGTCCCATGTCTTGTGAATACAGCTCTGTAAGTTTTTTTTTTCAACTGGAACCCTTCTAGGAAACTTCTAAGCGTGCATATTTGGTTTGTGATAGGATGGAACTGGGAATTCATGGCAGCCAATGGACATGACCCTCAACATGCTAGGAAACTTTGGGATCGAATCTCAGGAGAATACCAAAGTGACTGTAGTGACCACCTTACGAGCGTAAGTCCCAACCAATCGTTGAATGATCTTGCCGAGCTGACGACTCTTGTACTTCTTCAGTGGAAGCAGATTCACTGGAGGCCCTAACCATGACATTGGGCTTGTTCGTTGTCGAGCTGGTAAGAACCCAGATTGACATTGATCCCAACGTTTTAGAGGCTGACCCATTTTACTGTAGGAACGGACGGAATTTGTGGTGGTTGCTTCGCCGTCCAAATGAGTGGTCAAGTGACCGACGCCTCGAACGGCGGTGCATCCGCAACCCCAGCTACCCCTACCCCTCTACGTGAGTAGTTCTGCCCTACGTTAGGAAATGGAAGCATCACACGCTGACAGTCCATGTGATGATTAGAACTTACCTCACAACAAATGTCGAAAGTGGTTTCGAAAGTGATTGACCTAGCCAAAACACAGAATTTGGTGGCTACTAACTAACGGAACTCAAGTTGTTCCCTCCCCCTCCTCCAGCTAGCTTTTGATTTCCTCACACCACCCGATATTTGCTTCTACTATGGGCAATAATGACAAATCCACACTCTTACACTGCTACACTGTCATTTCTCATCGAGGGGTTTTCCAGTATTCCTTTGTACAAATTGCATGTGTTCAATGAATTTTTGATTTGGCTTTACATATATCTCTCAGGTAGCCTTTCCACTAAGAGTGCAAGACACTCCAGCCAAGCAATCCAGAACATGCACTACTCAAGCAAAGTGAGGATCACTATCACACAAACACATTAATTGAAAAGGTTGTACTACATGGAAGAAGGTTCCTTATAGGACAAAAATGTGCCACTTGACCACTAACTCATGTTTTGTTGCAAAGAATCTCAAGTCTGGATACCAAACATGTCATGAGCTGTAATTACCCAATTCTATATGTGGGAATGTCACTCTATGTTGCTCTTGCTGGTCAACTACAACTGGGCAATGTGAGAGGAGAAAAAAGTGATTAGCAAAATGGATGTTGGGATGCACAGTGAACCAAAAAAAGGTAAACAAACACATTTTCAATGTCAAATTTTTTCTAATCGGTTACCAATTTTTTAGTGGTGTGTTCCAAAAAGCTTGGACTCAGCATCAAAGTTTGGTTTTTGTTTTTGTTGTGGATGTAAAGAATTCTGAAAATATTTTTGCTTGATGTTTCTGAACTGCAGTATCCCACCCTTTGCTTTTCTTCCCTGCTCCTACCCAGCAACCCAACACTTGATTGTTGTCCATTCACCCACAACTAACTGGGTATGGCAAGTTGTGAGTTGCAATCAATCAGGTCTTTTGAGGTGAAACTTTGACCCTGGTTCCAAAAATGAACCCAGGGTCTGTACCATAGCACCCAGAGAAGCTTTCAATTTCAATTTTGAATCTTGGTTATTTCACAATCCAAAATCCAGCTTTGAGTTTGCCAAAAAAATCAGGGTACACCATTTCTATCAAATTTAATTTCTGAGTTGGAAAATGGAAATTGGAAACTGGGGCTGTGGTACAACTACAAGCCCTTAGATTTCTTGTCACTGCATTCTTAAAAGGTACCATAGATTGTGGGATTCAAGCAGGGGTTTTGGACTCAAGCCAAATGACACATTGGCCAAAGACAAGTCTAACAAAATTCTTGGTTTGTAAGTGCAGATATGGGTTATTTTAAAGATGGCACTCGGGTACCCGCCGGCGGGTACCTGGGACCTGTGCTCATACCCACTAGACACCCGCGAAGCGGTACGGGTGTGGTACTGGGTCCTTGAATTTTCCCAAAAAAATTGTGAGACCCGGGTACCGCCTGACGGTACCTGTACCCATCCCCTATATTTCTCAAGGGGTGGGGGGCAAACCGGGTGTCAAATATATCCAACTTGCCCATCAGCCATATCCAATCAACTCCCATCCACAACCATCCACCATGCCATTGCCACCCACTCGCAAGCGAAAAAAAACCCAACTCACCTCACCCATCAACCCCCTCATCCTCTCAGGCCCAATCACAATCACACAATTGTACATCTACCCAGG